GGCTGGTCACCCAAAAGACAGAACAAGTGAAGAGAGGGTGGGAACTTTCACCCCATACCCAACCTCAGGGGAGGGAGAGGGACTGGAGATTGGGTTATAAAAACTCTTAAACATTGAGATCTGGACAGCTTCCAGGTGGGTGAAATTGTCAGGTGCTGGGGAGGTGGTACGCACCCTCACCCTATACCTTGCCCTGCCCATCTCTTCCATTTGGCTGTTCCTGAGCTGTATCCCTTATATATCCCCTGGGATGGCCCAGTACCAATATATGGCCTGTTAGGAAATGACTAACCCTGTATCACCACCTGAGCTCTGCACCCACCCCCATTCCTGGTGCCAAAAAGGTTGGGGACCTCTGCCTTATAGTAAGCCAGTAAAAGTACATAAAGTGTTTTCCTGAGTTCTGTGACTTGTTCTAGCAAATTATTGAACCTGAAGAGAGGACTGTGGGAACCCCCCAATTTATAGCTGGTTGGTCATAAGTACTGGTAGTCCTTGGGACTTGGAACTAGTGTCTGAAGTGGGGTAGTCTTGTGGGACTGAGCTCTGAGCCTGTGGGGTCTGTGCTAACTCTGGGGAGTTAGTATCAGAATTGAACTGAATTGTTGGACATCCACTTGGAGAATTGGAGAAGTGGTATGGAAAAATGACATGCATTTGGTATATCAGCAGTGGTGTTCAAAAAAAGACAACACCTTAGTCCAAACTGATGTGCTGTAAAATACACATTGGATTTCGAGGACTTATTTTCAAGAAGGAATATAAAATATTTAATTAAGTTTTTTAAAATTGTTTACTCATTAAAATGACATTTTGGATATATAGGGTTAAATACACTATTAAAAACTGAAATATATCCAGGCACCCTGGAGGTGAAGTGGAGAATCTAGAACTGTGGGGATTCCCTGAGAGTAAGGTGAGTCAGGACTGTGGAGGGTTGAGGGCGTAAAAGTGAAATTGTGCTTGAGGCTGAGATTGCTGGTTCTTCCTGGGGCTTTGCCATCTTGTGCAGCCCAGACCTTAGTGGTTGTCACTAGCACTCACTGCATGCTTATCTTGGGACTGAAAAACTTCTAAGCACTAAATGTGGATTAACTTTTGTTTATAGTTTAATGTATTTTAATAGCAAACAGGAATAGCATAGAAGACAGACAACATAAAAAGTATGTATGTGAAGCCAGGCAAGATGGATCATGCTATGGTCCCAGAACTTTGGGAGGCTGAGGTGGGAGGCTCAGGAGTTGGAGACCAGGTTGGGCAACATAGCAAGACCCCGTCTCAAATATTAAGAAAAAGAAAAACAAAAATATGTACTTGTGTGTAGGGCAACTCAGAAAAGGATAATGAATGGATGGAATCTACTGTATGATAAAAATGTTAGAAATACCATTTAGTTGACATCATATTTGTTTAAAAAAAATCCAAATGCTGGCATTTTAACAGGTTTATTTATAATTAAGTTGAACTGCTGAAACTTGTTCATGGAAACATTTTGACTTGCTTTTTTTATTTTTTGGAGATGGTCTCACTTTGTTGCCCAAGCTGGAGTGCAGTGGCACAACCATAACTCACTGTAACCTTGAATTCCTAAACTCAGGCAATCTTCCCTCATCAGCGTCCTGAGTAGCTGGGACTATAGGCACGCACCACCACACCCTGCTAATTTTTCTTATTGTTGAGAATGGGTCTTGCTATGTTGCCTAGGCTGGTCTCGAATTGCTGGCCTCAAGTGATCCTCCTACCTCAGCCTCTCAAAGTGCTGGGATTGCAGGCACGAGCCACTGTTCCCTGCCTTGGATTAATGCTTTATGTCTCTGCGTTTAACACACACAAATGATAATGGAAAAATTGCCAGTAGCTGATTTCTGTCCCTTGTTTTTCCACTTGCAATCATATACACTTAGGTACCTTTTGACCCCATGGAAAAAAATATCTAACCTTCAGAACCACCAATAACAGCAAGTACAGAATTTTTTTTTAAGGCAGGAACCGGGTGGCCTGGCTCCCACCATGCGATGGTCTGTGTCTGCCTCTTTTTGTTTTTGAGAATGAAACGTTTCCCATTATAGTGAATTCTTAAGGAAGCTCTTCACATAGCGTCCTAACATGATGTCTCCTGGCATTACACGTTTGGCATGGACACCATGCTGGTTGGTGTCTTCAAAATGGTCAGACAGTCCTCACGCGCCTCCTTTAAAGCACTAATAGCTGTGCTGCATGGCGGAAGCACAGATCTGTTTGGAAGTTCCGAGCAATTTCGGGAACCAGACACTGGAAAGGAAGTTTGTGAATCAAAAGTTCAGTAGATTTCTAATGCTGTCTAATTTCATGGAGTACTGGGGTACCAGGCTGGTAACAAGGAGGGTTCTTCACTTTTCCAGGAGAGGGTGTACTTCTGCTGGCAGCTTTTGTAGCCAGTGGCTTCCTGGCTATTTACCCACTGGTAGATTTGTGGGTAGTTGCTGTGTATGAGCTGTGGTGTGGTGTAGAGTCCTTACTAGACCCCCTTCTCCTTCAATTTAGCTGGACCTCCAAGAGCTAGAGGCAGCCTGGGGGTTACAGTGGATTAACTTGTTTGAGTCTTCATCAGGAGCGCCTCTAATCTGGACCTTTTTCCTACCGGGCTTCTTATCCCCTAACTTCAGGAAGGTAGGGCAGTTACAGCAGAGGTCATCAACTGGGGTCACTCTGTGCCCAGAGGACATTTGTGAATGTCTGGAGGTTGTCACAACTGGGGTGTGTGCTGCTGGCATCTAGTGGCTGGAGGCCAGGGATGCTGCTCAATGTCCCATGATGCACTGGACTGCCCCCAGAACAGATTTATTCAGTCCAAAGTGTCAACAGTACATTGAGAAACTCTGAGTTAACAATGTTAGGATAAAATGCACAAATGCTGGGATGGAGATGAAGAGGAATAAGGAGACTCAGGAGCTGAGTATTATTTTACAGGGGAGATAGACCAAATGCTGAGGAAAAGAGGGAACCAAAAAAACCACAACTAAAATATATTAACATTTTAATCTATTTCTTTTTACTTTAAAAAAGATACATATGTGGCTAACATTATATATGTTTGATGGGGCTGCTGTAAACTCTATCTCTTCATCAGTACTGCTTAATTCATTGCTTAATTAATAGCTTCAGGTGCCATTGCTGAGGGCATTTCCTGGTTATCAGCTTGGGATCTTTCAGAAATTCTTTATGGGATGATGGGGTTACTTAATAACTCTTATAAGAACTCTTGATCAAACACCTAAAAATAAAAATGTTAATTTCCATTGAGAGCCAAACCTGCCATGCCATAACAGTTTAGGCTCTAGCTCTGGAGTGGAGACAGCAGGGTGGAAGGACTTGGGAGGTGGGATTAAAGGACCTGGCACAACAGGATTGGGAAGTGTGACCTATGCTAATATGCTCCCTTGCGTCTGCATCTTTCAAGAGCCCAGATGTAGAAAGGTTTTGTCACAGGAGCCACAGGTAAGGAGGAGCCCTGTTAAGGCTCTTGCAGGGTGCCAGAGTCTTTCTCCCTTGGAACCCAATGTCCTTCTCAGCTAAGACCTGAGGAATGAAGGGCATCCAGATACCACTACAGTGATCACAGCTCCTGCTCGACACCCAGTCTCAGTTGTTTCCCTCCTGATTGAATCTCAAGGACACAGCAGGGCACGATGGCAGGCCAGCCATTAGGAAGAGAGGCCTAGGACCAAGGAAAGGGCCTGAGGGCCTTTGCCTGGATCAATATACCCTCAGGACTGAGGAGACCTAAAGGCTCAAGGAAGGGGATGTCACTGCCTTGCCTGGAGCCTTGGTGGCTCTTGGGGGCCTTCTTGTCTGGCTCACAGAGAGCTCCTGGATGTCAAAGGACTTAAAGATTCAGCCCTGAGATGAGAACCAGCATTCCCTGCTGTCTGCATGAGGTAAATTCCAAGGGCTTAACTAGAGGAAGTGTTGTCTAAAACTGCAATCACTGATCATTCATTTATGCAGTTTAACAGTTCCCTGAAGTAGAAAAATCTGCTACCCAACCAGTCTTCAATGTCTCATGCCAAGGCTGGGAGAGGTGGCTCATGCCTGTAGTTCCAGCACTTTGGGAGGCCCAGGCAGGA